GCCTTTGGGCCTGGAGGTGGCTGGTAGTGAGTGTGTGAGTGTGTGTCCCCATCACCAGACCTCATGCCACCTACCTAGACACTCACAAACAATGAATTTTTAGCACAATAAAAATTGCTCAGGGGCTGAGGAGAAGGCTGTGTGTAAAGTGTCTGCTGCGCAAGCATGAAAACCAGAGATCCCCGGCACCCCATAAAAGCTAAGCGAGCCTGGCGGTCCACCTGCACAAGGTAGCTCGATTAGCCAGATCAGTGAGTTCTGGGTTCAATGACTGTGCTGCCACACATCCGGTGATCCAGGAAAACACCAAACTCAACCTCAAACCTCCACGAGCACGCGCATATCCACACACTGGACCCACACACACACAAAATAAAATAAAAATTATTTTAAAAGTGAGATAAGGAAAAGCAGAACCAGGAGGCGCTCACTGCAAGCTCGGTACCTGGGAAGAGGGGGCCCTCTGGGGCTGCACAGCCTAGCGCGGTGGCCGGGCCACCTTTCATCACCAGCACTCAGGCAGTGGAAAAGGCGAATCTCTGTGAGATTTGGGGATTTCTGTTGTTTGTTTGGTTTGGTTTTCTGTATTTTCAAGACAGGGTTTCTTCGCTGTGTAACCCTGGCTAGCCTGGAAATCGCTTTGTAGACCAGGCTGGCTATGCTCTCCAAGAGATCTGCCTATCTTTGCTGGGATTAAAGGCTTATACCACTATGCCTATTTCTGAGTTTGAAGCCAGCCAGGGCTATATTGCATATTCCAGGCCTCATCAGAGTGCTACGAAGAGAGACTCTCGCAAACAGAAACCACTACCCACCCCACCCCACCCCACCCCGGGGGGGGCGGGGGCGCACAACTTCAATCCGAAAAGACCAAAAAAAGAAAGTAATGACAGGTTGGGGCGGTCCCCAAGGTCTCTTGGGAGGGGCTTCCTGCCACACAGCCAGAACAACTGGAGGTTTGAGACAAGTGCCCTGTCTACACTCAATCCAGTCTGTGATGAAGCCCTTGAACCAGGGACTGGAGAGATGGGGAAGCATTAAGATCAGTTATTTTCTTGCCAGACTCGAATTTGGCTCCCAGCCCCCACGTCAGGCTGCTAACAATCACCTGTAATTCCAACTCCAGGGCACCCAACACCCTTTTCTGAACTCTGCGAGCACTGCAGTCCTGTACACATACCCACATAAACACAATTAAAAATAATAAAAATAAACCTTAAAAAATAAAATGTCCCTGATCCAGATAGAGCCACCCAGAACCTGGTGGTTCAAGACAGAAGAGGAAGGTCGGACTAAAAACTCTAGAAGAAAACCCGAACAGGCCTCACACCCTTTGACCTCAGAAATCCCACTGTGGGAGTGATAGTCAGAGATAAGAACAGAGAGGAATGTCTTGGGGGTGGGGGAGTGAGTAACAACCAAATTGCCTAACAAATTGCAAGATTAAATAAATCACGGCAGATGCATGAAATGCAACACTCATAGGAAGAACCAAGCTGTCACTTTGCACAGTGTATGTGGAATGTTCTGGGTGTAAGGAAGGCAACATATTCCTGTTCGCTCTCCAGTCTAGGGGCGAGGAGAGATGGTTTGCATCCCTATTTCCTCATTAATCCTTTTCAGGGTTTTCTAATTTTTTTCCCTCAGGAATTTCACTTTAATCATAGGGTTTGGAAACGCTATTTTAAAGGGCCTTACACAATGGCAGGGAAAGAAGTGACCACGGAGTATCTGATGCAGGATGGGAGAACTGAAAACGTAATCAACTCAGCTTCTCCCCAACACCTCAGCTTCTCCTGCACCACAGAGAAAGGCGGTAATGGTCTGGAAGGAGGGATAAAGGACCAGGGCTGGCTGCAGAGAGGCACAGAGGCAAACATTTCAGACAATAGCTATACAATCGAGGTGGACTTCACCCTGCGTGGCCAGCCACCTCCACTGCATGAGAAGCCGCACAGGCCAGCATTGCAACAGCATTGGTGAGGTTCTGGGAATCATGTTTCTCAGATAGCACAGGATTAAAAAAGTGCAGTTGAGAACAAAGCTCAAGCAGGCTCCGACTCCAGTCACCAAGGCAAACACCCTCCTGGCACACAGATTTCCCACGGGCCTGCTGGTGCAAACAGTGGCATCACCTGTGGCGAGGCCCAGGTTTGCCAGCTCCCAGGTGAGGAGGCCAAAGGGGGCCCTGTGAGACCTAAAGGCTCATCGTAAACAATATTCCTGCTCCGGAAAGCTAACCACCTTTCTCCATGGCTTCCAGCACCACACAACACAGGCCATGTGAGGCCCCATCCAAATGATCCCCAGTCTAGCAAACCCAAATAACAAAACACTAATAAACACTGAGGTGCGAGAGAAGGCTCCATGGGAAGGGTGACCAACACCAACAACGACAACCTGACTTTGAATCTAAGGAGAGAAACCAACTCCCACAGGTTGCCCTAGGACCACCACTAGGTTACCATGGGACATGAACAGCCACACACAATAAATACAATTGACTATGATTCAAAAAAAATGGCCTTAGATTTACTAAGTCCTACCACTGCATACAATATTCATTTCAAAACCAAAAGTAACAAGCTCACAGCACAAAACCCAACAGCGTCTGCTAGCCATTTTCTTCCTTCCTTCTTTTTCTAAGAGAAAAATGTTTAAGGTCTTCTTTGGGCAGGCCCTATTAATATCCGCTAGCCTGTAACACGATCCGGACATGTGACAGCACAGGAGCCTCGGTACGCAATTCAGAAAGACATGCACTGGTCCTCCCAGCCTATTCCAGTTTAAAATAGAAACAAACACCAAAATGCTCAATCTTAAATGGTAGAACGAACAATGGGAGTGGTAACCAACCCACAGTCATTGGCAATGTGAGTTGGTACTTTGTGTAAGGAAAGGGGTGGGGAGCTTAAAGTATAATAAAATAATCTTTCAGAGAAAAGGTGGTGTGTGTGTGTATCAAATTGGATGGAGGATGGTTAAGAGGCCAAACAAAAATCCCTCAGCAAAGTCCAAGGCTCAGGAGCCAGTTCTGACCGGCCATTCCAGAAACTCCGCTTTCCAAGGCTTTTGACAGTATGTGCCCTGGGATTTCCCCTCACCCACTCCAAGCCAGTGAAGAGTGCAAAGGACTAGGGCAGGCCCCACCAGGGTGCCGCCGCACAAGCAGCACAATGAATTCAAGCTCCCCAGGAATTCAAGTCTTGGAGGCAGGGACAGCAGACTCTGTCTTTCCCTGACACGGAAGGCTAGGACCAGACCGTTGAAGGAGGCCAGACAACACAGACCGGCTGAAGGGCAGGAGAATAAAAGGCCTGGAGGGGGCATGGAAGTTCCTTAAACAAGATGATTAAGCCAAACCAAGTGAGACAATCCCCCCACCCCCTCCCGGATGCAAGTCACTGTTTATCCAAAGGGGACCAACGAGTTACTCAGGGCTAGTCTAAGAGGCAAGCTAGGCCTCAGTCATCACTCAGTGAGACAAATACTGGTTCCCTCCCACCCTCCGTGTATTATCCTCCGTCCTTCCATGGTCTCCCAGCCGCCTCAGAATCTGGCTGGGCTCCCTGCTTTTAAGCACGAGGGTAATAAAGAGACTATCAAAACGGTCACAGCATTTGGGGTAGGATGGGGGGTGGGGAGTTCCCCATCCCATAAGACACAACCGAAGGACAAAAGCAAGGAATTAAAAGGGACCGACACAACCAAGGAACCAGCGAGAACATGCATACATACCACCTTCCCACAGATGGAAACGCTCTGCTGTTGAATCTTACCTGCGGCTCCCACGAGATGCACGAGCAGCCGTAATTATTCCCATTTTATAGATGCAAGAGCTGGGGCTCAGAGACTTAAGTAACTCAAGGGTACCTGAACAGGGCTCCAAAGGCTCACTTGCCTGAACAAGCTGAAGGCTCCCAAACAATTACTTGCCTATCCCCAAGGAGGGCAGTTACCTTCCCTGGGTTCCAGCCCACTGAAACCCAGCCACCACTAGAAAGCCCCTGCACTAGAGAGGCAGCAGGTTCTTGTGGGCTACACATGCCTTTCCAAGCTCATTCCCCACAGAGACCCACACTGACCAAGCACCTAAATACCGTGGGTATTTTGTTGGGTCGTCACGATGTGGCCAGGCTGACCTGGAACTCCTACACTATCCAATGTTTTGCATCCCTTCTCCAATGTCGCCACTCCAAAGTCAGCACCTGTGGCACGCTCCAGCACGGATGACACCACAAGTGGCCAACCTTCTATCCTAGGTTGACAACACCATAACCATAGAGCACCGACCGCATACCAAGTCATGTCTCCCTGCCGATGAGGGCTGAGGAGAACCTGGGTTTGGAGGTGGTGGCAGCAGGTATCCCATTCTCCAGCCCGTACCCCTCAGGTCCCAGCTTGCAGCACGACGGTGCAGACATTACGATACAACACGAGTCCCTGCAGTTGTACTGCCACGAAAAGACGCCAAGGCTTCAAACGGACGGACTGAAAGCCCAAAGGAGATGTATAAAATAGACAACACACCTAAAATACACGCTAACCTTTCCAGGAAAGAAAACCGTAGGTAAATTTTAACTATCCTGCAAAAGACAAGCGTTTATAAAGGCTTCTCCCAGGCAGCCATTTAGCAAATGACACACTCCAGAGAGCATCGGCGCCCCCCTTCTCCCACTTCCTTCAAGCTCACCATTGCCTGGAGGGGCGGGGGGGGGGGCACCTATTCTTGCCTAACAGTGGGTTTCGTCTCACCACGATATTTACAAAGAAAGGAAAGCAGCATCCACTTTTGTGCAGGCAGAACCTCTCCAAAGAGGCCCACCACCTCAACAGGGCTGCGTTTCTCTCTTAAAAGGTAGGCGAAGAAAAAACAAAAAACAAAAAAATCATCAATCTAGCAGGCCCCGAGCAGCGACATCCTGTTTATTAGCAAACATTTTTAGCTGCGACTCCGGGTGCCCTGAAAACACCACCCCACTTCCCGCAACCGAACCCACCCGAGCCGGGGCGGCGCTCGGCCTGCGGTTCCGGGCGGCCTCGGGGTCCCGTGTCCCCCGCCTCGGCCTATGAGGCTGCTGTCCCCGGGTGCAGGAGAGCCCTCTGTGGACCCCGACCGCGATCCGATCCCGGCCCCGCCCGGCCCGCCGTCCTCCCGCCCTGGCCGCGGACACACAACAATGGCGAGCTGCAGAGCGCCGACCAGGCCGCAGCCCCGAGCCCGCCGC